TTGTTATCAAAATAAAGATATCGTCAATCCTCGTATATAATTATTGACTTAACTCGCGTTAGTGAACAATGGAATCAAATAAGTCAAATACGAGAATGGATTTTTAAAAACGTATATTTCGTACAATTGTTGAACGAAGCAAACGAAACAAACGAAGCGAAGAAACAAAGTGAAGAAAGCAAAGAGATGAAAGCGAAGCGAAATGACGCACGATGGAGAAGGCATATGAACCAGTTCAATTTAATCAAGCGTGAATGGATATTTATAGTCAAACAAAAATGAGTTACAGACATGTGATCAATAGGATAAGAAGTGCGCAGACATACTCTTACGTAAAATCATTCAAGTTTGACGAGTGAATAATTAACAAGGTTAAAAATGTGACTCAAGAAAAATGAATAAATTAACCTGTCCAGAAGCTAGAATAAGCTATAAGGGCTCAACATAGCAACCAACAATAAAAGATTGACTGACTGGTAAAATTTGACAATCCAAATATATATATATATATATACCTTATGATTTATGATTACGGAATTTTATTAATATGTAGTGTGTTTTCTCTGTTTAGCTTTATGAACATAACTACCTATAAACATTATCAAACGTAGATTGTTTTACTATTTAACTCAGTGATAAAATGCAAAGCGTTGTATAAATGTACTAACAAATAGAGCCTCTATAATCTGATTAAAGACGAATAGCGTCTTGAACATTTCCAGTATAGTATCTAACCGAACAACAATTTGTGTCGTACAGTTAATTGTTTATTGATGGATTATTTATAAAAGAAAATAAACCTTATCATAATCTTTTCGAAATCATAATCATGATATCTTCTACATACCTTACTGCAATGCAATTTATAGAAACATTTATTTATAGCATCCGTAACTCTTTACAAGCTAAAACCTCTCATTTAGTGAATTACTTTGATCGTAAATTTTCGAAACTCTTGAATACGTTCCTACAATCTGTCCGTGAAATTAAATTCATAGTGATGTATACCTCTTCCCTGAAACTGCTATGCACCATTCAGTATATCCAATTTCACAATTGAAGTGATAGAGATTTATATGTTTAATCGTTGTTATTACAGAGCCCACTCATTAAACTTCCCTTTCTGAAGATATCTTACATTTATACTGTTCTTGTTCATTTTAAATAATTTGAGTAATATCTATCCAAATCAGTAGATTGTAAAATAACTTAGCACTTATATATTGGATAAGCTATCACAGTAATTCTTATTGCTTCAGTTCCGTCTTCTCTGTTTCAACTATTTTTTCGAGTTAAAGATGAATGAAATCACACTGTTGTGTAACTGGAAATGACCTTGGATGGATTATTCATGCAACAATAGCATGCCTCAGTCCGTACACAGATGCCTCACATTGTTGTAGTCCATTTAGTAAATCTACTTCCCAAATAACCTATGAGCTATATTAGTTCAAACAATTTAAATTATGAATTTTTCTTTTACACAACATTGCTACCGTTATCAGCTGGATCATCCCTGTAAAATGGCATACAGTTTGTAATATTTCCAGAAAATTTTTTATTTATTCCCAGATATTATATACATGAAATCATAATTTCTCAAGTGGGAACTAAAAAGTCCTTAATTACATTGATCAATAATATTGATATTCTAAAAAGTGATTGATGATAGAGACTAAAGTCAATGAATTGCGATGAAATGAAGAAACTTTATTATAATCGCTTTGTCATCGATATTATTCACAGTTCCTAGACAACTTTTATTTATTTTTGATCCACTATACAATTCAGGGTATAATATTATAGTTTAGATTCCAAATTATTAAGTCTCAGATTGTTCTGTTGTTTAAAGCTATCAAGTAAACAGTTATTTTCATCTAAGCACTTGTCAACTAACCAATTGTTGCATAGCTTCCTTTCAGCAACAGATATTCACCTCTTGACAACATACAACTTTAAGGATTTTTTTTAAAATTAGCGCCTTTCTATCTTACCAAGGAACTAACTATAAATACTATTGTATAGTTTAATTAAATGATATCGCTGAAAAGATCTTTTTTTCCACCGAATTGCCTGTTTTCTTCTTAAATATCGAATAGCAGTCGACTGAATTAGTCACATAGATTGTATTTTCATATTCATTTAAACCAAATACATATGTGAAAAGTGTAATAAACTAATTTGGTTTTAACTAGCTATGTACTCTAAGCAACAATGCAAGCATGTTCAGGATGCGATTCTCTCCGTCGAAATGCAAAATGTTGCTTCAGGATTGGGTTGCATCGACACCCGAACTAATAATAGGGAGTGAAGTAGTTGAGCCTGTCGACCGCTTCACTTATCTTGGAAGTCTCATCAGCCCTTGTGGTCTGGTGTGTGACACAATCTCAGCACGGATACAGAAGGCTCGACTAGCTTTCACCAACTTGCGTCATTTATGACGTAGGCGAGATATCCGTATATCAAACAAAGGACGTGTTTACTGTGCAGCAGTTCATTCCGTCCTACTTTATGCCAGTGAAACATGGCCGGTAAAAGTAGACGATATTCGTAAGTTGCTAGTATTCGATCATAGGTGTCTTCGAAACATTGCTCGTATATCCTGGGACTATCGAGTAAGTAACACAGTTGTTAGGGACCGGGTACTAGGTAAGGACGGCAAATCAATTGATGAAGTAGTGAAAATCCATTAGTTGAGATGGCTGAGACACTTGTTACGTATGCCCAACGATCGACTGCCTCAACGTGCGATGTTCAGTGGTATAGGAGTAGGTTGGAAGAAAGCTAGGGGCGGTTAGACCAAAACATGGCACAAGTTAATGAAGTCACTGACAAATGAACTGAGTCATGTTGGTAGGTGTAGACTACCTGGTTGGGGACCGTGAGATGATAGCAACCTATGGTTAGAGACCCTGAATTACGTGGCTCAAAGTTGTTTGCAATGGCGCAGGTGCATTTACTTTTTGTGTTCTCCCAAATTCTAATCTCTTGAATCTTCTTTGTCTCTTTTTTCCCTTTTCAAATTTATTTCACTGGATTATACTCCTTGAATAACATCCTCAAACCCTAATCTTTCCGATTATTACTTATACGTTTACTATCTCTACCACTACGGGATTTGAATCGACAATTGCATCTCTGTGCTAATGTGGTGTGGCAACTCGAACTGATGTACGTACGTACGAAGTTCTACGTTGTTACTGACTGACGGACCTTTCAAGTTGACATTTGGACAGGATTTAATTTAAAAAAGGCCATCGAAAAAGTTTTGTTACTAAAGTTTCCTAATTTAAAAATGTTTTGTCCTAAGTGTTGAAGCTTCAGTCAAAGATAAATGCAACATGAATATTTCTTAGCTTCCGATTGTTTTTTTTTTATAACTTCATTCATCAAAAGAATTACAGAATAATTGTAAGAACACTTCACCAATACTTTAATAGAAAAAAATATTTTCTGTCCAACAGTATAATCTAACTGACAGTCAATATCAAAGTGAGAATCTTCAATACGAATGTCAAGACAGTTAGTTCTTCTGTACGGAACTGAAACTTGGAGAACTACAACAATCATCATCAAGAAGGTGCAAGTATTTATAAGTGGCTGTCTTCACAAGATACCCAATATACATTGATCGGATACCATAAGCAACAGCCTATTGTGGAGGAGAACAAATCAGCTTCCAGATGAGGAAGAAATTGGGAAAAGATATTGGAAATGGATAGGACATACATTACGCATCACGAAGTACGTGCTAACTTGGAATCCTGAAGGGATTCAATAAAGTGGAAGGTCAAAGTGCATACCGCACCGAGGTTTGGAAACAGACATGAAAAAAATCAATAGGGACTGGAAAGAATTGCGCAGGATATAGTTGGGTGAAGAATGCTTGTGGGTGACACATGCTCATCGACGATGCGTAAATAAGTAAGTAGGTAATAATATGATCTAATTAGAGCGTGAGCAATAATTTCCAAGAATTTTCTGTTTGGTAATTTACCTACAATCTCATCTAACGAAATATATGTCATTAGAGTACATTTAATAAAGCATAATATGATATCAACAGTATAGCAATAGTATAAAACAACTGAAGAGTAATTATAGAAAGAAACCTCTCCCTCAAAATCGTTCTTCGAAGCATAATGTTATTCTCATACAGGGATTACCAGCTTTAATAATCAAAGGAAGAAACCCTAATATTTAACTTGTCTTCTTTAAGAAGACAACAGCACTGTATAAATATCACATGTCACATTGGTAGACAAATAGATCATGTAGACAGGTGTAAAATCTTGCTACTTCAATTTACAAACTCGTGTCTTTTTTATATATTCACTAGTAATTTCTAGCATATTACGGTGAGACTATAATTTATAGACGACCTTTGATCGACGCTGGACTGACGATGATAGGATCAAAGTCAGTCAGTCAGTCAGTCAGCTACAACGTAGGACCAGGCACATATGTGCATCGGTCCAGGTTGCCATACCTCATTAGCACAGCAAGATGAACAGCGGATTCATAGGAGTGGTTAGGTCAAAGGTTGCAATAAGGATATAGTATAGGAAGAAAGAATTAGTTCGTAGAAAGAAAGATATGAAGTGATTTTAATCTCTTAGTTTAAGGGAAGACAGGGAGTGTATACACCGACATCTATTAGTGACTTAAACCACAGAGTTGCAAGGATCAAATGAGTATTATATACCTGTATGAGGACTTAGAATTATGATTTGCAGTTGATAGTTAAGATTAGGAATTAAATTTAGGGTTTTCATCACGAACTAACATCAACTATAATGCTAAAACTCCATTTCGCCAAATCAATGAGTGAATTTCCCGATAATATCCGAAACCTGTTCTCTTATACCTGATTGATTCATTCAAAAATTATAGTCTCGCACCTATTTCAATAATTTTCCTATCGAATAAACTAGAAATGATATGAAATCAAATTATATAACATAGAAACTAATTATTTATTATTATTATTACCTTCATTAAACAAATCACATTCATATATCGTTTATCATTATATTCTGCACATATTCCATTTTGATTTGACTATAATTAACATAAATCATTCTAGATTTTTTTAGGCTCATTGGTTAAAAACATTACTATGGCTATTGCTTTAAAATCTCACTATACTGATTTCAATCTCTTTCATATTTTTCAATTATGAGTAAACAATTTTTACATTAAAAGATATTTGCATTGTTGTCAACAAAAAGACTGATCAATTGCAGTCTTAAATATTAATGGGAAGATACAAGTAAAACAACATCAAGTGAATTTAAACTTCACCCCATTGCACAATCAGGTAGCTATCGGCACTCAGGAGCTAGATGGATAACCTGATGGCGTTTGAAGCGAACGGTACTTTGTTCGAGTCCCAGATTAAATATCAACTCTAAGACGCAGGTATATCCAGCTGACAAAACCGGAATAGGACGAAACGCACGTCATGGATTCCACTGCTAGCTACTATTCATCTTTGCTTAAAAAGAAAAATAGTTGAAAATAATAATTTTTGTTGACGATTTATAGTGAATGAATGATTAGGCTTGAACAATTTGAAGTAATTCATAAATATCTGGAAAAAAAAGGTGAGGGAAGATTTTAACTCTTCTCTCAAATTGATTTACACAAATCTGATTCAAAGAAAGTAATCTTTAATATAAGAGTATAATTCATTGAATTTGATTTTGATTGGATAGAAATTCTTCGAATCATTTAACGGTCTTTAAAATCTCCGTCATCGGTCTCAAGAACCATTCAACTAATAATAACTTTATAAAGTACTTTCATACTAACCAGAATATTGGTAGATATATCAATATCATACACAATAAACCCTGATGCATTAAAATGCTTAATCATTATGTCATTTATTACCATCTGTGATATATTCATCTTATGCATATTTTATTTTATCAATTCTTATCTCTTTTTTTTAACAGGATAATACACAACAACAAAGAAAATATGTAATTGAAGTATCAATATTAAAAATGTTGGATAGAATTCAATGAAACTATTCACATTTGAAACCTATTGAATGAACACAAAATTTAATTATTTAATTAAAGAAAATAAATAAGAAATACATTAATAAATGACAAGATATATGCAAATAGTCATAATAATAATAGTTGCTATGGCTATTATTATTATTATCTTGTTGTTGTTGTTGTTGGTGGTGGTGGTGGTCGTAGTGATTTTGTTTTACACACGTTCATATATACAAAGACGTTTTAGAAATAATCATGAATGAAACCATGAACATATAATGCACTTAATAAATGTATCAAAATGAAAGGAAATCAATATTTCATTTTGATCATGTAATAAGAATAAGTAGATTATCAGAACTATGTGATTGGGTTAATATATCGTCACATAGTTCGGATCATTTTTATGTTTTTATTACATTATCGAAATTTATCAAAAGGGACTAATTGGTTTAAATGTTTCATTGCCAATGGATCATTTTAGTCTTAACCGATTACATATATATTAACTGTCAATCAATGGAATCAAGGAGCAAGGAAACAATAGTACCAGAATTCAAAATGCTTTAATCTTGTATCCAACAAAGAAAAAGAGGAAAAAGAAAAATTGAAGAAAATATAGAAAGAAATTTGGGTTGAACCAACAAAAAAAACATTTTTTTCTTTTAAAAAATAATCATTTCTATGGTATTTTAATATTGCGTTAATTATAGTAAACAATTTGATTACATTCATATCAGACTATGATATTGTTTTATGGTTTGTACTGTGTTTGACAGTGATTTTTTTGTCTTGAACTTTCCTGTAGACGTTTTTTGTGATGTTTGTTTGTTTACTCTTTGAAGTCTGATTATTTTTCAAGGATATTCGATGTATAACATCAAGGAATTACAACTTGAACATTTAAGAGATATTCAACACTTTTTATATTCTTCATGGCATTATCTCTTGAAGATATTGATTTATTCATTGAAATCTACTTTTTGATATATACTAGATGATTTAAATAAATTTGTATTACTTTGATTCTATAGATTGATCCATTTCAATTGATTTTTGATAATCAATCAATTTTTTTGATTGACGATATTGTGATGATGTATGAATTGTAAAATCCAGATCATCTTGTCTATCATGATTAGTTAATAAACGATTATGTGAACGACGAGTAATTGATGGTATATTATTATTATTATTATCACTTTCTTCATTTATACCAAGTTTCATTAATTTATGACAACGACAACCTAATTTATAAAATACATTTTTGCATAATTGATGTACACGTTGACGAAAATTACATCCAGTTGCATAATAAATGATAAAACTAAATGCATAATGTGATAATGCAATCTCATCACCAAATGCTTTAATTGTAATCATTTTGAAATATTGATTCCAAATAGGATCTTCTAAAGCCTAATTAAAACAAAATAGAAACAATGAAAATTGTATTTTCTAGTTATTTTAGTGTAAATTATAATTTATACTGACACATTCAAATTGGCAATTAATATATCAATGATGAATGAATTCACTATAATCTATTTTTCATAGTTTCGTGATTACAGTCTAAACGTTTCTATGTCAACAGTACACATCAGTTGAATAATATTAAAAATCAATACTTTTGTTGGTGATTTAGTACTTTCAAGGGGAAAAAAATACAAAAAAGACATACCTTAAGATTTGAATGACTACAATAATCAATAACTGTTGCAATTTCAAGCTGGAAAATCTAATTGAGTCCAATTAAAGTACAGGCCCCCAAATGCCCTGGTACGGCCTTGAGTGGGGATAGTCCGCTCTCCCTCTCGAAATGCTCTCACATGGCCACGCGTATATGGCCTCTGCCAGAGAAGTCCTACTCACTGCCATCTCGTGACGGGGGTGTTGTTTACGAAAATGAGAGGACGAAAAGCGAATGTCCGGCGCTTTAACCGGATTTCAAACCAATAGTGTACATGGGATCCAGTATCCTGCGGGAACAAATGGCGTATGAACCAATCGTTGGTCACCGGCATCCATGGGACTACATCTCCTTATGATGCTCCACTGCCTTGTGGATCAGATCTTGAGGTCGAAGGTTCGGGGAGTGGCCCTCTAAGAAAACCACCTACTTCGATTTGGGCACCCGGATAGTATCACAGCCCTCACACATATCAAATGAGATTTGTGTGGCACATCTGTATTTGGTGCCTCTTTGTACCAATATCTATGTCTTAAAATAAATAATAAATAATAAAAGCACAAGCCTTATTAAGAAGAGTTGGGTAGTGTTTAGTTTTAGTGTGGATATTAATACGAATTTCGGTAAATCTAGTTGATTAGTCACAAACTGGATGAAACCCATATCCTGGATTCCACGGCTAACAATTATCAAACTCTGCTTAAGATAATCTGTAAATAAATGGCAACATTATAGTAATCTGCCATGGATAGATGTTTGGTTAAAGTAGTTCATCAATTTTAATCCTTAACATCAGTTAAAGGGAGGTTACAAGTGTTTATAATATCATAATTATATACTTCGCAACGAAAGTTACATCTAATTTCTCTTTAGCAAACAAAATATGTGAATACCGTTAAATTCGACCACAGACATGTTCAGTGACGAAGCTAATAGATAACTCAATTTTTTACCGATGATATTACTACTTAAAATAATTTAAAGATTACTACAGTCTTCAAGCTAAATGTTTTTCTCCTCAAAACAATCGGTGTTGTTTACAACATCGTCGTTTACCAAGTTAGGGTTGAAATATTTTAAGACACCCAATAAATGAATGAGGTATTTTGTCTAATAAACTAACATTAAGTAAGATTTTTTATAAATTCACGAGGTCGATGCCCCTTCTAACAACCAGAACAACAATTAATATGGGTAAATGGAATGTCCGAACAACGTTGGAGATCTGAAGGACCAGTCAAATAGTTACGGAAATGAGAAGGTACAACTTGGTAGTGCTTGGCATAAGTGAAATCCATTAGGAGCAAGTAAGACAGAAGAGATTAGACTCGCGAGAGATGCCGCTATACTCTAGTAACGAAGAAGAAAATATTTCGCACAGCCACAAAACGACTTGCTGATGCTGCCCAAAGAAGCGTGTAAAGTACTTGTAGGATGAGAATCTCATGGACTCAGAATCATGAAAGCATCCGACAAAACAAGGAAAAAGGGTATTACAATGGATGATATTCGGTATTATGCTGCTATCGAAAATAGCAAAAGAAGACATAAGAAACATTTTTAAGAGAGTCTGTAATCGATCGTAGAGAACTACCCATGAAAAGACCTGACAATCCTGATGGGAGGTCTAAACGTCAAAGTCGGGATGGAAAACAACGGTTGTGAAGATGTTATGAGACGACATAGGATGGATGGGAGAAATCAACTACAATGGTGTCAGCTTTGCAAATTGATGTGCATTCGGGAAACCAGTCATTGGCAGCGCAATACTCCCACACGAACGCATACACAAAGCTACATAGATCGCACTAGATCACATTACAGAGAATCACATAGATGACATTTGCATCATAAAAAAATTCGCAAGGTCACTGGCAGGCTTGAGAAATAGGGGAGAAGCTTATATAGATTATGATCACAATCTACCTGGTGGTTGCCAAGATCAAACTGAAGCTAAAGAAGCACTGAGCAAACAGGATTATAAAGGTTCAATATAGCCTTCCCACAACATATTGACAAACTCAACGAATTCAAGACAACTTTCAACAACAAGTTCTAAGCCTTACAGGATTTATTGGAAGGAGAAACTGCTATGGAGGGCAACTGGAAACATATCAACGAGGCATTAACTCCAGCGTCTCAAGAGGTGCTGGACCGCAACTAGTATCATAAGGAATTAATCCCTATCAAAACCCTGTACAGGATTCCAGAAAGGGAGAACAAGACGACAGCAATTAACAACAGTCGAACAAAACAGAGCAGGTCAAGACACAAGCTGAATACATTGAAGCAAACAAGTAACTCAAAAGGGGTATTAAAGCCGACAAGCAGAAATACGTGCAAGAGCTAGCAACGACAGCGGAAAAAGCTACAACAGAAGGAAATATAAGACAACTATATGACACAACGAAGAACCTATCAGGGAAATATTGTAACACGGATAGAATGGTCAAGAATAAAGAAGGCAAGACAATTACTGGGATTTAGGAAGAGTGGAACTGGAGAGAAGAACGCCTTGAAGTACTTTCAAATAGACCAACACCACTGAGCCCAGCGAACATCGAAGCAGCACATACTGACCCTACAATAGATGTCCCAAAGATGTTACCTCAGCAGAGATCGAAGAAACCAGCATTGTCATGAGATAAATCAAGAGTGCAAAAGTGATACGACCTGTCAATATACGAGCCGAAGCATTATTGTTAAACATAGAAATAACTGCAAGCATGCTTCACACTCTGTCCAGAAATATTTGTGAAGAAGAACAAGTGTCGCTGACAGACTGGAAAGACGGACACCTGATCAAAATACTAAAGAAAGGAGATCTGAGCAAATGTGAGAACTGCAGAGGCATCACACTACTGTCAGTACCAGGAAAAGTCATTAACTGAGTGTTACTGAACCGGATGAAAGACGCAGTGAACACCCAACTTCGAGATCAACCGTCCGGATTCCTTGAGGATCGGTCATGCACGAATCACCGTTGAACAATCAATTGAATGGAACTCCTCACTATACATCAACTTTCTTGTCTATGAGAAGGCGGATAAGTGAATATTATGGAACCTCCTTGGACACTATGGTTTGAGTAGCTGAGAAGACAGTCAAAATCATACGGACTTCTCTTTCTTCTGGTGATTTACTGGATAATGAAGAGAAGGATCAACGAATACATTGTTTGGGGAATCAGAGGTAGATATCAAAATAATAAATAGGAAATGGAAAGAATAGAGGAAGACACTGTTCAATGGAGTAAGAGAGTAAATAAGTGGCTCTGAAATGTACTTTCTTAATGCATGGCAATAATTTTGCGGTTCATGAGATGATTTTTATTGATTTATATTATACTGATTAATAGTGGAGTTCACTAAAAGCTGAAACTCATTTTTCATTATCTGTACTAAAACATTGTCTAATTGTGATACCAAAATTTATGATATTTCAATCAACTTACTGAGAAACGTTTTATATGTATTTACTTTAATCATTCTAAAGATAAGGTGAACAAAGAAGTGAGCTGATCTTATTACGTTAGATTCTTATCGGTTGTTTCCAACCTGTCGTATTTAAAAATCATTAATACAAAATGAATTGTAAATATTTCGATCAATGTCTTTTATGGAATTCCGGTGTTAATATATATATCCGCATAGTGTAACAAAGATTTAGATAGATTTAAGCAACTAAATAGAATTTCAAATGTACATAACATGCAAAAAACAAACAATATTCAATAACATTGGCATTAAAAAAATGAAATCGAAGAGTTAGAATTCAGTGATTGCTCAATAAGAAAAACCTAGTGATAAGTAAGAATAGAATTAAAAAAGCTTAGTTGGTTAAGAAATTAAAATTGCTGAATGAAATGATAATTAAAATTAAATCAGTTCTTTGACATCTGATAGCAACAGCAAACGTCAGAAGATTGGAGGTTGTTTGTTCATCGATTAATTTGCAAGATTCCAAGGTCTCAACCCGATATCTAGCGTTCAGGACATATCTAGTGTCTAATTTATTCAAATTAATTCTTCTTCTTGATAGTAAGTGGCGAGACTCTAATTTATGGACGAGCCAATCAGAAGTGTTTGAGGGATTTCAAGATCACGGCACCGATTTCAGTACCTGATGCTCACATACGATTGGATTACAGCGAACTTTAGAGATGTGATTTTTGAGCGCTTACAACAGATTGGACCACTAAGAAGTTCCATTCTTTCTGACTGTGGTAATCAAATGACCACAGTACCTTGATGAGATTGTCTTTCGATGTTATGTATGTTAGAGGAAGAAGTCTGCTAGATACCGATTGACACTAAGACAAATCATGATAATTGTTGCTATGAAAATGACAAGTTTACACGAGTCGTTTGGAGTTGTGAGAATCGTTAAAATAGACGAAACAGTAGTCCGGAAGCGAAAATGTAACAGAGGATGTAGTATTAAGGAAGACTGGGTAAATAGCACTTCCATAAATATACATCACAGGTACTTGGAATTTACGACAGATCAACCCAAAAGGGACACTTCAAAGGGTCAGAAGCACTAGGATTCCAGAACCTATGAACCCCTTTCAAACCTTATAAAGTTTTTGAACCACGTAAAAGACGTATATCCACTTTAATTCTTTAGTTTTTTACAATAGATTTTTACTCTGTACTAACTGTTTTCTGATTGGTTAATATTTATCAAGGCCACTTAAGATTCATTCAAAGGTCGTCCATAAATGAAAGTCTCGCCGTTTCGTTTCAGGTTAAGCTCTGCCTACATTAGTGTTAGACCTTCTACCTTTTCTTTCTTCAAAATCAACATCTTTAAAGTTATGATGAATAAAAATATACCTTATAACCGACAATACCACAAATAAATTGTGATATATCCCGACGAGAATAATAAATGGTAACTTTTGGGATTTATTTATAGACTAATACTATACATACGTTTTTATTGTTTAATTGTTTAATAGCCAAACTATCTGTATTCACATCCATCTTATTATTATTATATAATTTACTTTTCTTAAGTTATGCCTAGTTTATTAATTGCAGTCTCCCACAATCATAGCTACTTTTTGTCTTGATCTTGTACAAATGTTCTTTTTTATGCTACGATGTGATCTGTTTGGTTTATATATAAACCCAGTATATTTGAAATATATGATTCATATCACGTATTCTGAGATTTATGTTCCGGATGTAACAGGCAGTGAAAAGGACTAATAGAAGCTCCAGACTATTAGTCCAGGTGTATACATCATTAGTTGGTCATAAAAGTCTGTGTATCTAAATTTGGCAAATCGTATTCACGGAATCGTATAAATTAAGAACATAACCGTTTGCTTTAATCATTTTCCCACTTATGAATAAATTTTTAAGAATAAGAGTTGTCTTTAAGACAGATTTCAAAATTTATTTGTTGTTCTTCCTGTCTGTTTATGTTATAAATATATAATCAGAGAGGGGTTTTGTGGTGCCGATTGGGCTAACTTCGTGGATTAGTTGAAGTCAGACAATAACACTGTTGGATCTCGGCTCAGTGGCCTAAAGGTTAAGCGTCCGCGCACGAGGCTGATAAGTCCTGGGTTTGAATCTCGCGAAGCAGGATCGTGGATGCGCACTGCTGAGAAGACCTACAATGGGACGAAACGGCCATCCATTGCTTCAAGGTTTTCCATGGTTGTCTAGCTTCAACTGACTCATGAATTCAATTATTAATATGCATATATATATATATATATATATATATAACATCGCCTGGAGCCCGCCTGGGGCTACTGCTGATCTCAAGCCCAGATAAAGTTGGAGGGTTGGGGATGAGGTTAACGACTCCATCCCGTAGGAAACTAACTCGCTATAAAAACACCATACATATATCCATTTCTACATGATGAAATAACATTTTTACTAATCATTTCTTATAATTGGTTAGCCAAAACAAAAACTTAAAATTAACTAAAACAAAAATTATTAATTTCGTAGGCTCTTATCAACTGTTTACGGCCTGTAATATTTAAAATTATAATTACATAATGGATTTAAATTACTTACATGAAAGAGTTTGGTTGGAAATTATGTCTTGCAAGGGTGTAAATAAAATTAATAGACCGAATATTGTAAATATATACCTTTTATGAAAAACCATTCTACAACATTGATTGTGACAACAGTTCAAACAGCTAGAAACAAGTGATTATATAATGAGAAGGGGTTTTGTGAAGATTTCAGAAATTTCTATGATTAAAATCATGAGTCAGTTGAAACTAAACAATCATGGAAAACCTGGATGCACTAGACGGCCGTTTCGCCCTATTGTGGGACTCCTCAACAGTGCTTATCCACGATCCCTCATCGTGAGATTCGAACCCAGGACCTATCAGTCTCGCGTGCCAGCACTTATCCATTACACCACTGAGCCAGTCGGCATTCAACGATGTTAATGTCTAACTTCAACCAATCTAAGAAATCGCATAATGAATAAATATTGATAAGAATATAGTGAATAGAGCTCAGTTGATAAAATAAGATTATTAATATGTAAGATAGTTGAATTAAAACTCACTAATGTAATACATGCGAGGAAGAGATTAAAGAAAAAGAAATAGTATTTGTCACCAAGGCAACAACCTATGAAATAAAACTGAATTCATGTTATTCTGCTAGAATCTTTGTTCTTTCTCTTTTCAAAATGATAAAAATATCAATGATAATTATTCAATAACTTACTTCTTTTTCTGTTGCATTCATATTAGGCTCTTCTTGTGTTTGATGAATTAAATAAACAAGACCACCAAGTAATGTTGTTAAAATTGTATAAAAACTAACTGTTAAAAGCATTAATGTTGTTGATTTAAAACTTGGACTAGTACGTTTATTATGTGAAATTTTATATGAATCATTATAATTTATATGAATTAATTCATTATTATTATTACGATTAGAAATTATTGATTTTTCATTGATTATTGATTTATTATGATTGATTGAATTGATTGAATTATATTGTGGAATAAAATTTAATGAATTTTCATTTGATATTAATGAAGTTTTATTAATTTTTTTATTTGATTTTATTGAATTTGATGATAGTTGCTTAGTGAAAATATTTTTAAAATATAATTTAATTTTATTCCCATGGTGATTATTATTATTATTATTATGAGTAGTAGTAGTATATGAAGGTTTTGGTGAATTTTTATTATTTATTATATTTGATTGAGATGTTGAACAATATGATGATGATGATAAATGATTTGACATAATAGCTAATTGTTTATTAGCATGATGAACTTTAGCTAATTCTTTTATGACTAAACAATTAAATATTAATACTAATAATGGTACAACACCAGCAAATACACCTTCTAAACACGATAAATATACACTTATAATTAATGGATTAATATGTCGTTTACTACATGTATTTGTTTCTGTTATAAATATATATGCATAACCAGAACATACTATGATTGTACTAATGATAATAATGATACATATATAAATTGCTCTTTTTGAACTGCATATTCTATCAATATAAAATGGTTTACATATAGCTAACCAACGTTCAATAGTAAAAGCAAGTACAAATAATGGTGATGCATATTGTACAGCTGGTGATAAAATATTTTGTATTTCACATGAACCAGGTAATAAATATTCACGTATTTGCCATACACGTGATAAATCTCTATTTAATGCAAATATTAATACAATTATATCATTTAATGATAATGCAGCTAAATAAACAGCAGCAGAATTTTCTTTGATCATTTTTTTATTAGACCATATAATTAATGAGATAAAATTACCTGGAAAACCTAATATATAATAAATGATTGTTACATAACGATCAACAAATAATGCTGTAGGAACAAAATGTTTAGCAAAATCAATCCATGTTGTATAAATTTCTAATAACATTTGATCGGATATTGATTTATTATTATTGATTGAATTATCAATAGAATAATTAGTATTGGTATCATTGATATTGATTGTAATTGAATTAGTTAATTGAATAATCACTAATAATATCAGTATGAATAATATTATTTTGGATAGTAACTGATTAGACGTCATTAGAAATTTGAATTATTATGGATAGTAACTGGAAAAAGAAAATGAGTGACAACAAAAAAAGTCTTTTTTTTGAAATACTGATGTATTGATAATGTAATAAGATGATGAATTGACAAGATGATGATTCCTATTTAAACATTAAAAATAAAAAAATATAAAGTTCAGTAAAGGAGTCTCTTTTCTCAGTTTAGTTCTATAAGAGTGAGAGGAAAGTAATTACGAGTTCTATACTTGAACATCTAATCGATTGTAAGCATTCTACGGATACACAGCTTAATTTTAAAGTTGTATATATGATTCGGAGGAAGAAATCGAGAAGAAGTGCCGGGAGTGTCTAGGACACACATTGAGGAAAGTACTCAACTGCGTCATGAGACAAGCCCTCACATGGAATCCTCAAGGCCAAAGGAAAAGAGGAAGACCAAAGAACACATTACGCCGAGAAATGGAGATAGACATGAGAAAAATGAACAAGAATTGGATGGAAGGCCCAGGACAGAGTGTGTTGCAGAATGTTGGTCGGCGGCCTATGCTCCATTGGGAGTAACAGGCGTAAGTAAGTAATATATTACACGGTCAAATCTTCCTAGCCTTCTTCGTATTCAACTTCTAAAATTAGCCGATGCTCTTACCATCCATGAGCTCAAACTAGAACTATTTGTAAAAAGGACGTCCTAATGTTATCGTTACCCTGGTTTTAATTAATATTATCATTATTACTTCATCCCCCTTTACTTATGTCTTATATTCTCATTATTTTATTCAAATGCTCATCATATCACTTGACTTATTTTCACACATCTATGACCTTTAATGACCTTTAATTATTGTAACAAAAACATTTTAATCATCTTATTACATTCACTGAATCTATTGTTATTATTCGTATCACGTAATCTAGTATTATAATCTTTCTATTACTTCATCTTGACTATTTGTGTCCACATTTCCTCACGGAATTAGTACTTTAACAAAAAAATTCCAATAGTTAAGATCACAAGTCAATTGAAACTAGACCACCATGGAGAACCTGGAAGAACTGGATGACCATTTCGTCCTATTATGAGACTGCTCAGTAGTGCATATCCATAAACCCGCCCCCAAGAGTCGAACCCAGGACTTATCAGTCTCGCGAGCGAGTGCTTAACCATATATATACGATTGCACAGCTTGATAATAAAAGGTGATATATTCCAGCTAATGAAGACAAAATGAATACATTTAAACTTTTCGTCTTAAATTTAAAAATTGTTTCAGTTAATTCATTTGGTGTAGTTTTTAGTTTAGAAATCACTTTTCAGTTGATAGTTGTTAAACAGCTTAATAATAATAAAAGGAAATTTGTTATACCACACATCGTTATATTGTGGTGTGAAGGCAACTTTACATGAAGCACCTACTACTTTAGCTGCAGAGTCATTTTGTAAAACGCATTCTTTCTATCTTTCCTAGAGTTTTGTTTCATCTCGATAACCAGTTGTGGAATAATTGAAAAAGTATTATGAAAACTGTATTCGGACAATTTTAGTATCATTGAAGTTTGGCAGCCTAGTATAATTTTACAGCTTATATGAAGTGATTGGAAGGATTTTATTATATAACAACTGCTTGGCGGAATCTGAATCCACAGATTAGTTGACATGTATTTTAAGTGGGATAAATATGCAACGCTGAAATGTACCTTAACTTTAATAATATGTATTACCTCAAACATATACGTTATGTCCCAAGTAGACTCTGGGAGTTGATTTATTTGTCTAAGCTAAATACCCGTTTATTTCGATATCAAAGATATGCCAAGGACCTACATAATGTGAGGTTTATAACTGAAACATTTTTTCATTGTGGCTATTATTGAAACCGTCCTCTGTTGTAATTGATAAAAGTGTTTAGGATTACTGCATGTGGTGCTAGAATCCATTAGTTAACAACGAAATCTAAATGAATAAGTTACTATCAGTTTGTCTTAATCCAGTGATCTCTAGAAAGGCAGTTTACTCAGTTCTTAGTCAAGTATTTTGTATGAGTTCTAGTGACATTACTTAGCTTTCTAAATTAAGGTACTTAAAAAACGGATTGAATCAGTGATTATTTGAATAGAACCTGATGTGGTAATCTTTAAAGCGTTACTTCACTCCACCCTGAATGAGTCAATAACAAAAAGGTAAATGAATGTAATGTCACATCATTAAAACTGGTGACCCTCTTATAAATTGGTCTATAAGATCTGAAAAGTACTATGGTCTAAATGAACATGACATTAGTCCTACTGGAAGTCAATTGTGGCTCGATTGACTTGATAATGACCTTTTAGACTGCGAAGCCGGATGATACATGTCTTATTACAATCCTACCAAATTTCAATTACTCTTTCATAGCAACTCACAATCACAACGACACTACAGTCCGAACGTCCTATGAACATTAAAACCACTGAGTAGCGTCTCACTAGTCTATAGGTTAAGCGATCGCATGAAACCGAAGGTGTCAGGTTCCAGTCCCACATCACTGATAGTATATATTCACTGCTGAGGAGCCCTATACTAAGACAAAACGGCCACCAAGTGGTTTCAGGATTTTAATGGTGATCTAACTTTTATATCGATTCATGATTTCAATAATATGTAACAATTTCCACAACCCCCTATTAAAAATATGATCAAACTGTTTATATTGATATAAATAATCGGTTTATTATAGTCTATAAACGGCCGTCCAGTGCTTCCAGGTTTTCAATGGTGGTCTAACATCAGTCGGTTCATGATCTCCACAACCCCTAAACTGGTAATTACCATGTGCTCACTAGTGACTAGCTTCGTGAGAAAATTCTCAGAGTTCCGTGAAAAGTGGAGCTAAACCGTGTCGGGTAGAAACAAGTGTCTACCTCAGTACAATGGAAGATGGTCGCACAGTTTCGTGGATTGGTTGATGTTAGATACTATCACCATTGGATGACGGCTCAGTAGTCCAGTTGGTTAAGCGTTCGCGTGCGAGACTAAAGGCCCTGAGTATGAATCCCGCGAGCGGGATCATGGGTGCGCACTTCTGAGGAGTCCCACAATAGGACGAAACGGCCGTCCAGTGCTTCCAGGTTTCCGACGGTGATCTAACATCAATCGGTTCATGATCTCAATCAAAAAAAGTAGATAAATTGAACTTCTGTTGTTTAGAAAAAAATTATGTATTTCAATAAGAATAAACAAATCACGTCAAACAACTCGTTATGATAAAAACAAATAGGCTTAGATTTGTTTATACTTAATAATTATTTGATCCAGTTTGACTGTGTTCTGTTGTTCAAAAGTTAAACAATTTATTTTCTATTTTGTTTTAACTATAAGCTATCAGATATTCATACCATAGTAGGAAATTTAATAGAATGACTGAAAATTGATAAACGTTTAACTAGATTTAATAATATTATATTTGACTAGGTGGATTATCATTGTATGTTTGTTCGCTTGTTTTCTTTCTTCGATTACAAAACTGATAACCTTGTCAAGAAAGACAATGAGAACTTCATGGTTAAACTATTCTGCTCATAGAAGAAACATTCTAAATAAAAAATGAGAATCTATAGCTTTAAAACAATTTTGAGTCAAAATTTATCAAGCAATTCATCATGTAATACATAAAATTGATGTTTATCTGCTCTAAATTCAACTACTTACATTATTTTAATAGTTGAGATCATAAGTCATTTCAAGTTAGACAGTCATGAAAAACCTTGAAGCGCTGAACAACCGTTTTGTCCTACTGTGAGACTCTTCAGCAGTGCATATCCACGATCCCACGTCACGAGATTTGAACACGGGACCTACTGGTCTCGTGCGCGAGGAGTCTTACAATAATACGAAATGGCCGTCTAGTGCTTTCAGGTTTTCTATGGGTTTCCATGAACTCATGATCACAACTATTAAAATTAGTAATAATATCCACAAAAATCCCTTCTGATATTTACATTATCGTAGTAAAAGTATTCCAATGACTTGAAAAGCTAAAAAAATCAAAACAACACTATCAGTAGTAGTGAAAAAGAAATAGAGAGATAAATATTTAGCAAAAAAGCGATAAACAAAAATCAGGGTATAGAATTATTTGGAGAATATCATGCATGATATATGAATTTAGTAACTCATTGAATTAATCAGTAGCTATGTGACTAATTTTATTCCAACCACATTATGTCTTTAATAATAAATGGATTCTACTGAAAGGTCATCAAGATTTAAGAAGTGCATCATACATGATAAAGTAAAATAACATACACAATGACGTATTTCCTGGAATTCCTAAGAGAAGCGGTGAACAATGGAGTTCAGTTGGGATTGTTGTGAGATAGTAAGTCACTGAAAACAATGGTGGACGGTGGCGAAATTTCGTGGACTGGTTGAAGTTAGACACTAACACCGCTCGATGCCGGATCAATGGTCTAGAGGTCAAGCGTTCACGCGTGAGACTGATAGATCCTGTGTTCGAATCTTGAGATGCGGGATCGTGGTTGCTCACTGCTGTAGAGACCCACACTAGGATGAAACGAACGTCCAGTGCTTCCAGGTTTTCTATGGTAGTCTAATTGATTCATGAATTCAATTATAATTGATTAATTGTACGAATATGTGTTTACATCAGCAAGTTATTGAATTGTTACTGTTAAATATAATTCAGTTCCATTTCATACAGATCTAACTATTAACCTAATTGAAAATGAACTATGTAAGATGTGATATATTCATAAATTATTTTTGATTTATTGTTAGAGTCAAGTAAATCCTTATTATTAAAGGGCGTATTCAATAGAATCAATCATATTTCTGGTAGCGATACTATTGAAGTAGCGATGAAGCTCTGCACTGAAACGTTAATGAATAATGGGTATTCATTGAAGTTCATAAACCGCTAGGTTTGCAATATGATTAGATCTATGACGCTTCTGGCACCCAAAAACAGATTTTACATTATCTTACCATTTAGAGGCAACTCAAATAGTCTCATGTCGAAACGGAAACTCAAATTAGCTATCAATGGGACATTTTATGCAGCCCAACTTGTCATTATTGAAAAGGCAAGGTCTATGTTCTACCAAAAACTCGAACGGCATGTGTCACATCTCATTATGTCTATCATTTGACATGTATGTGAGGAAACATGTACACATGGAGGAGCAATCGTGATCTACAAGAAAGGGTGATGGAACACACACCCAAATGGTTGCAGAAACAAATGTTCACAGGATAGACAGGCATCTTCATCCATTGCGAAACATTTGGTTGAGATTGATCATAAGGTTGATGTCAAGTCAGCATTTGTAATATTGTACGAAAGACTTCAAGGGCATATATTAAAGTTTATTGAAGCCTCGGCTATATGGAAACTGAAACCCTCTTTATGTGTTCAAAAACAATTTGTTCTTACATTTAACACTACCTTGGTAATGCTGATCTATTATCCAGAGTGGTTATCAGGTTGTTCTTGTGTACTTTATTTTTCTTTGTTACGACTTACCTTTAATCTGTCTAGTTGACCTTTTAGTTTTCATATGAAAATGTCTTAACAAGTATATGTGTGTGATCAGATTGTTCGAAATATATTGCGCAACTATATCACATAATTCTGATAACCTTCGTCTTCTCATTGCATTATGTAAATATAAGTGTTCTAATTATGTAGTTCCAAAGTAATCGTTTAGTTATTAGTTAGTGTATAACAAAATAGAGTCAAATTTTTCAAACAAAACTAGTTGGTTAACTTGAAACATTTATAAACATGAAATAGTTTTCACTCATGTGGGCTACTTATCCTTGTTATTCGTTCTTCTGTAGATTGACAAAGGTTACTTGATAGTAATCGACCTTGTGTACATTTTAAGTATGATGATAACTAAATTTAATTATTTGGTTTCCAAGAGAAATCCATCTTATGCTAAAAGATTATTCTTAAGCTAGAATACCTGTCGGAAAAATTTTTTTTTTTCAAGAATTTTCCAGTAAGATTAAGTGAACTTAAGATGGTTAAGAAGTTTGGTACTAATAAATTACACAAGAAGTTGCTCAATTTTCACAGTTTTTGAAATCATGAGTCATTTGAAGCTAGACCACCATTGAAAACCTGGAAGCACTGGACGGCCGTTTCGTCCTGGTATGGGACTCCTCAGCAGTGCGCATCCACGATCCCGCACCACGCGGGGCTCGAACCCAGGACCTACTGGCTTCGCGCGCGAGCACTTAACCACTAGACCACTGAGCCGGCATCCAACGGTGTTAATGTCTAACTTCAACCAAGTTGCTCAATATTTAGTTGCGTTGACTGGTTTACCCGGTATTTATCTACGAAAAGCGTAACCTATCAAATTCTGGATTCTTTTGGGATGATTGGTGTATCCTATCAAAAAGTGTGAAACAAAAACGAAACATTTCTTTATTGACTATTAAGGTTCATTTACTGAAAAAAGCCCTGTATAATTGTGTAAGATCATCGAGAAACATTAATATTAATTAATTTATCTAAAATAAGTCGTTTCAAATTATGGCACGTTAATTTAGGATTGTTTGTAATATAAAATGAAATAAAATGAATAAAACGGATGATGGGTTGTTCAAGATCTTCGATCAATTGAAGTTAAATATTAAAACCGTTGGGTGTCAGCACCATGATGTAGAGGTTAAGCGTTAGTGCTTGAGACCGAAGGTCTTGGGTTCGATTAACGCGAGCGGGATTGTGGACAGACATTGCTGAGACATCCCATAATAGGACGAAGCAGCCGTCCAATTCTTTCAGCTTTTAAATGGTGGTTTAGCTTGGATTGACTTGTGAATTTTTATGTTAAAATACTACATTCTCCACAAATCCTCATTCTGATAAAATAGAATCGTTAATGTTGGAATGACTAATATGAAGTGTTGACTTGATAAAGTTTATACTTTAAATGAAATTGTGCTATAAGTGATCAGAATTAATGTAGTTAACATGAGTTGAGAGAGATAAAACTGTAATTAAAAATCAGAAATCACGTAAAATGTGGAATAATACGAATTAGTTACGAATGAGTAAATAGGGCTTGATGCTGAATAAATTCCTAAAAATGGTTGACGTGTTATATTAATAATGATAACAATAATGATGATAATCATAATGTATGATTACGTAGATTCAAGGAGGAACTGGTGGTTAGCTAATTAGGTCGGAAATTGGTCAAAGTAAAAAGAGGGGTTGAACACATTTCTTCTGGACGAAAAACTCTGGCTTTTGATCCAAATAGTTATTGTTTCAGCCGTTTGAAGGATTCTTAGTCCAGCAGGCTGAAGTAGATTTCTTTTAACAAATATATCATTGCAAGTGATTGCTTTATGCTGATTGTATGCTCCATCTCCACCGAATGAACTAAAATTGAGCTGTTAATACTTTTAACTACACAGTTGCTTAACCACACTAAGAGGTGCTCACAAGCACGAAAATACAAATTCTTAGAACACTTTCCAATATAACTTGCTTCACAAAAGCAGTTGAATTGACTGGTACAGAAAGAAGTACTTAGTCTAAGTAATTTATCATTTAATCTCAGAGTGACTATCGGACGTGTAGGAAACATTATTTGTAGTTAACCTGAATTAAAGGTTCTTTAGATTGTTCTGCTCAACTTTGATAGTATCATCACTCCTAAATTTTAGATATATATGCAGAAACTTTTTCTCACAATCAACCTTCATCTATGCTCTCTTTTATTGGCTAAATGTTTATTTACAAACTCCTCAGGATATTCATCTCCCCTCAGAGTCGTACGTGATGCATTTATCACCTCTTCAGCCGCATCTATGGTGCAAATGGTCTTGATCTCTTTAATGGAACGTCTAAATCAGGTTCCTTTTATATTGTAGAGGAAGAAAACTAAGAAAGTTTGTATATTACCCAGCCAAGGTAGTTTTCTTGTTCATGTTTGTTTTTAATGACTCATCTATTCTCCTTGTAAGCATAACATCTAGAAAGGATATTTTACCTCTATTTTCTTACTTACATGTGTATTTAAAAACAGATAGACTTCATTCAGTAAGTCATCTACAATGGCAGGACACAGTGAAATTCAATGAAAATTATCGGATAACAGGACAGTAAGCCAGTCAGTCAGCTACAACGTAGGACTAGGCACATATATGCATCGGTCCAAGTTGGTATACCTCATTAGCACAACAAGATGTACACCAAATTCATAGAAGTACCTAATTCAATGGTGGTAATATATAAAACAAGGATTGCATATGAGGACATAGTACAGGAAGAAAGAATTAGTTCGTAGGAAGAAAGATATAAAGTGATTTTAATTTCATAGTTTAAAGGGAAGACAGAGAGTGTATACACCGACGCCATTGTGATCGATCCTGAGCCATGTCACTCAGAGTCTCCAACCATTGGTTACGATAGTCACGTGGACCCTAACCAAGTAGTCTGCATTTACCCACATGACTCAGACTACAAGATAGTGTTTTCAAGGACTGATGCCACATTTTGATTTGGCCACCAACCATCCTTGACACTGGTCAGCATTGCAAGACAAACTTCATTAGATCACTTGAATGTTTCTATCAGGTATGGTCGTTACAAAAGGATGCATCAACAAAAAAATGAAGACTTGTCAATATTCTGTGCCAGATTTTGGATTAATAATTTAAAACTTAAAAACCATATATCTGAAGTTTCATAATATGATGAGAATTATTCAGCAATAACTTAATCTCAGGTTTTCTTTATACAAGTTTACGCTTGATGAGAAATTACTTATTTATTTATTTGAACACATAAATATTGGTACAAGGGGGTACCAGATATATCTGCGCCACACAATAACAATGAAAATGGGAAAAGAGAATGAATGTAAGGTGCTTATGAGAAAAAAAAGATTGAGAGAACAATAACGACCACAGATTAGTATGTGGTAACAATAATAATAATAATAATGGGAGAAAACGGAAAGGTACAACCAGAATGAATTCTTTCAGTTAAGGAAGTTATAACCACTTTTTATGAAGAAAGTAAAGAAAAAAACGTTACAGCAAAATCTCCACTGACTTCTATTCTGAGCCATATGTGATAATGTCTCTAACCAATGGATGAGAAATCAACATCTGCATCAATTGTTATGATAAAACACTGAAACTTTTCAACACTATAGAAATTATCATTAAAATAGTATTGGAATATTGCTATATATATATATATATATATATATATATATATATATATATATATATATATAAAAGTTAGTAACCAACCATTCAATATCACTCATAGTTACTATTATCTCAAAATTAAACAACAACAACAACAACAACAAAAACAGGCTTAATCTATTTTAAACCGGAAGCTTTAATAAAATCATTGAATCTAATATGAATATTACCATGATAAACAATTGACTGATGCATTAAAGTCTATTCTTCGAACTCAATTTCAGACAATCATTGGTTTTATTTTTTGTTTTTTTTTTGTTTGTTTTCATTCATAATCGATGGGATTGTTACCATAATGATAAATATATATTTTTTTCTTTTTTTTATCATCTGTCAAAATATTTTGTTTATTTTTTTATCTAAAAATTATTAAAATATTTTTTTTAAAAGAAGGAAAATCGGAACGTTTTAGTTTTTCCTATTCTTATATTTGTACCTTATAAGTTATTATAGGTAATAATGAAGATGGGTAACATATTGTAAAATGTAACAAGATATCAAAAAAAAGGAAAAAGAAAAAGAGAATTAAAAGGTATCAGATGGGTTTTGTGGATATGATAGTAATTTCAATGGTTAAGATCATGAGACAGTTGAAGCTAGACCACCATGGAAAACCTGGAAGCACTGGACGGCCGTTTCATCCTATTGTGGAACTCCTCAGCAGTGCTCATCCACGATCTCGCATAGCGGCGAGATTCCGACCCAGGACCTACTGGTTTCGCGCGTGAGCACTTAACCACTAGACCACTGAGCCGGCCGACATCCAACGGTGTCCATGTCTAACTTCAACCAATCCACGAAATTGAGTGACACGTTCACCATTGTCTTCAGTGAGTTACTATCTCACAACAAACCTGGTTGAACTCCACTGGTCACTAAAAGGTAATCGAACAACAGTTTCGAACTTAAGTTTTGCTTATGTTATAACTTTTCAACAGGATGTATTTACTATTTCGTGTGTGTGTGTGTAGGGAGGGGAGTGGGGAGGGAACTTGAACTTCCTGTTGGATTCAAACCTGTGTCATTTAATATTCTAGTGAAGAAAAAAAATAGAAAAAAATAAATGAATCAGACATTTTGCTGTGATAACATATTGTAATATTGAAGATTGTATCATTTTTATAGTTAAAAATGATTTTATAACTGAAACATTTGATCTGATCAAAGGTAAAGCGTATTATTAACAATCTTCTATCACAAATATTCAGTAAAAATTCACTCAGTCAGTCAGTCAGTTACAACGTAGAACTAGGCACATACATGCATCGGTCCAAGTTGCCATACCTCATTAGCACAGCAAGACGAACACGGGATTCATAGAAGCAGTGAAGTAAATAGTGTAATATATAAATGAAAGATTTTATGTAAGAATATAGTACAGAAAGGAAGATATGAAATAATTTTAGTCTCATAGTTTAAGGGAAGACAGAGAGTGTATACACCGACGCCATTGTAATTGCTTCTGAGCCATGTCATTCAGGGTCTCCAACCATTGGTTACGATAGTCATGTGGACCCTAACCAAGTAGTCTGCATCTACCAACATGGCTAAGACTGGAAGTTAATGACTTCAAGCACTGATTCACTCGGTGCTGTTTTACTAATATCTTCCTATTGTTATTTAGGACTGTCTTTAGTCACAAGCTTTTTAAGCAAAGATGGGTAGTGGCTAGCAGTGTAATCCAGAAATGCGCGTTTCGTCTTACTTGCAACTCGTCAGCTAAATAAATCTGTGATTTTAATTCTTTTCTCACCAAATTACAACCTATTTATCAACTGAAAACATTAGAACACTTCCTATTCAGAAGGGGTTTTGATAAATATTATAGTAATTTTAATAGTTGGCATCATGAATCAATTGAAGCTAGACCACCAAGGAAAACCTGGAAGCACCGGACGGCCGTTGCATTCGATTGTGGAACTTTTCAACAATGCACTGAATCCTGGGTTCAAATCTCACGAAGTGGGATCGTGGATGCACACTATCGAGGAGTCCCAAAATAGAACGAAACGACCATCCAGTGATTTCTATTTTTCCATATTGGTCTAGCTTCAATTGACTCATGATGACAACGACCAAAATTATTATTACTAATAAATACCAATGAAAATATAACAGTAATTATTTAATATCAAAGTTATAAAACAAAAAAAATATTTTTTTCTAAATTATTTATTATTGAAATATTGAATAAATTATACAAAAAGGGACCCAAATTTATAGATAGTTGAAATAGTTATATAACATCTACATATATGTGAAAGGCGGCCTGCTCAAATATCTGGGCTACCTGTTCCTGTCATTTGAATATTTCAACAAGTTATATGTTTTCTTGTTTGTTTTAACACATCATTATGCCAATTGATCGCATAACCTATTCAGGTGCGTTTGTCAAAAGTTCACGACATTTTGATGTACAAATTACAAAACAACCCAATCAGAGACATCGTGGTTACTGGTTATATCTATCGGAAAGAATATAGACTAATCAGATGTCGATTCTTGAACTGCGAACATCTAACTGGAGACCACTCAATATTTATCGCAAGGGTCGATTAAGAAATAAGGAAACTTGTTGGAATAATTTGTACTGAGAATTCTATATTGTACGGAACATATAACATTGAATATAGCCAATAATAATAATATTTCTATATGTTTCTCATTATTGTTTCAACTCAATATAGAATCATTCAAAGAACAGTTTATATATATTCATTGTTCTAATCAGAATTATTCTTCATTTTCTATAATATTTAGGAGATGGAGCCAGATAACAAATCCTCATATTATATATATATATATATATATATATATATATATATATATATATATATATATATATATTCATTGAAATTAATATAGAATTATTCTCTTGAATGAAACATTTACCGTTTATTCTAAGCTGTCGTCAAGTTAAAGCTATTCAACTAATGAATCATGAAATATACATGGAAGTTCATCTCTAATTTCAAAGATGAAACGATCTTATTTAATTTAAATCTAAGTTATTAGTTGGGTGAATAGTTCTAGGCATATTTTATGTTTGCTAAGTTCATTCGGTAAATCAAAAAAGACCTATACTTAGTATAGAATAGTTAATTTTGTAATAGATCCTTCGTGATGACATGAACAATGCTGGTTTTCTTTTTTTTTTTTCTTATTCACTTCATATGATTGTATTCGTTTATTCTATTAGAAAACTAATCAACGATATATGCGACATTAGATACTGGTATATGTATTGTTTGTGTATATATTATCATTTCATATGTATAGTTATATGTATATAAGTACGTATATATACAAATTTACTTTGAAGCTAATCATTTGTATAGTAGCAATTAATCATACAGTAGAAAGGAAATGAAATCTTTTAGAAACAGGATTATTATTTAAACTTTCAACTAAAGAATAAAATACAGAAACTTTGGTAAACTTCACTAGTCAGTATGATTTAACTAACAAAATAGTTCATTTATCTATTCATAAGCTTCCCATCAATTAACACATCACTACATTCATTCAAATTATCACAATGAATCATAATAGAAAGATTCAATTATACATGATAAATGTCAGAATAGTAGAGTTGATGTGAAACATTAAAGAGGAAGAATTCCATTGATACGTTGAAAAGAAACTACACAAAATATAATTCAAGAAGAAATCAATACGTAGAATGTAGACTAAATCATAAGATTACAAATTGAAGTCTATTAATTTGATATGTGTGATATTCAAATTGGTTTGTCTATATATTGATGAGAATTTCATCGTCGGATATTTAAATATGTAATATAAATAACAGACCTAATCACACGTGATAGGGAAACTTTGGAAGAAGTTGAAATTTTCATGTACCTAAGCAGAACCATCGATGAACATGGAGGATGTGATGCAGATATGAAAGCGAGGATTGGAAGGACAAGGGCCACATTCTTATTAGTGAAGAACACTTGGAACTCAAAACAATTGTCAACAAACATCAAATTTAGAATTTTTAATAAGAACGTCATGACAGTTAATTCTACTGTACGGAGTTGAAACTTTGCAGAACTACCACAACAATCATAAAAAAAGTACAGGTGTCTATGCAAAATACTCAATATCCGTTGGTCGGATACTATCAGCGTCAGCCCACTATGGGAGAAGACGAACCAGCTTCCATTTGAAGAGCAAATTAGGGAACGACATTGAAGTTGCACTCATGATAGTATATAGATTACGGAAATCATCAGAATACATGACGAGGCAGACTGTAATTTTGAATGGTGAACGGAAACTTTTGAGGGGGAGATCAAAGAATACATTGTGTCGGGAGTTAGATGTAGGCATAAAAGGGATGAATAACAACAAGAAACAACCGGAAAGGAGAGAGGTGGACAGAGTTGTTTGGAAATTCTTGTAGGCTTCTCATGCTCTTCCACGAGGTGTAACTGCCATAAGTAATGTAAATAAAGTTTTATTTTATCTTTTAGATTATTACAACTGTTGTAGAATAATTACTTAAACACAGACGTTGTGGATTTTAAAGAACTTTCATTCTATCTTAATATGAATAGGCATTTGATGAAATAGAATGATGAAAATATAAGTACTGATATAATCAAGTATTGCTTACTTACGCCTCATGCAGGAGCATACGCCGTGTTTTACAACACAATTTATAATAAAACGTTTTAACGACACATGTTTTATAATTTGTCTCAATAAACTTGTATTCTTTTTAAAACGGCAAATACGTTTTAATTCCAACAATTAACTTACAATGATAAACATGTTTCTGTACAGTTATTAAATATTAATCTAAGTAATAAATATTAATAACCGATAGAACATTAAAGTAGTCCTTGGCTATTCGAAAAGTTCATAAAGACATTTTTCGGCAGAATTATATGTTAAGTATACAAATGAGGAAAACAAAATTAGTTGTAATCAAGTCCTTGTTCAAAGATTTATTGATTATTCATATCAGAAAGGGATTTTTGTGGATATTATAGTGACTGACTTTGACAGGTATTTCCTGGAGTTCTAGTGAGAAGCAGTGACCAGTGGAGTTCAACCAGGTTTCTGTGAGATAGTAACTCACTGTTGGCAATGGTGGATGTGTCGCTCAATTTCGTGGATTAGTTGAAGTTAGACATTAACACCGTTGGATGCCGGCTCAACAGTTTAGAGGACAAGCGTTCTCGCGTGAGACCGATAGGACCTAGGTTTGAATCCTGCGGTGCGGGATCGTGGATACGCATTTCTGTAGAGTTTCACAATAAGACGAAACAATTGTCCAGTGCTTTCAAGTTTTCCATAGTTGTCTAGCTTCAAATGACTCATGATCTCAACTATTAAATTTATTGTTTATGTTCATAAATAAAGTAAACCTTGAAAAAGAATGATCTTATATTAAGGAAGATCTAAAAATGTGATCTTGGCATAAAGATAAGATCTTGAAGACGATTCATTATCACTAACGAAATAAGTACTAACATAGTGATTTTAAATGTAAACATACGATTTCATCCATATATTTGGTAAATATAATTTCAAATTAATCAATCTAGAAACCGTATTACATTTCTCGTACCGATTACACTTTGCATTTTTGTTCGAGATTGTTCTAATGATAAATCGAATCGTTTAAAA